TCACTAATTTTTAAAGTGTGCCATCATTTATTGGGTAACTCTATGTTACGTGAATCCTTTTGTTATGAACCACTCATGCTGTCAGACACTCATTCATACAAGTCATACGTTCATTGTCTTGCCCTTCTAATTCCACTTTATACCCCACATCGAGAAGAATGGGTAAAGGAGGGCATTTGTTTTTACTGTGGCAATGTGGGAATTACAAATAACAAAGGCCTTAATGATAAGTCAAAGTCTGCTGCTTTTGGAACCAACCCTCCCCCTCTCCTCGGAATTCGTGGGCTAATGTCAATCACGAGGTCGGTCCAAGCTGCCGCTGCCTAACCAAAGGGATGGTGGTTTTGGTAAAGAGTTCTCTCAGGAGCTCTACCATTGTACCTTCGCTAAGTGGGCTGGCCTCCAATCTATCAAAGTAGCCTCGATTCGTGCTGCGTAAGTGTTATATCTTCTTTAGAGAAGTCTGGGTTGGCACACTCCTTATTAGTCATTGTTGAGGTTTTCGGTGGATATAAACAAAATGGATCACAAATTTTGAAGTCACCAATTTCCCAGTAATAACCTCATGGGGAGATCTATTGTAAAAATGCCTATTTATTGTGTTTATCATATGATATGGGTCAGAAGGGGTGATGGACATCGTGCGAACGATAATTGCAAATTCGGAATCCTTACAAATGAAGTCACAGAAAAGAAAACATGTTTCGTAGCAAACCCTAAACGAAGTAGTTTGGCCTGACGTAACAAATTACTCAATTTCATGTGAGAAGTGCCACAGATAAGGCCGGAAAATACAGAAATCTCTCTGACTAGGCAGTCAGTTAGGACCTCTTTGTGAAACTCCCAATGCCTTCACTTAATGTGCTGTCTCCGAATTTGTGCGTCAACGTTCTAAGAATTGGGAAGATTAAAGTGCCTCCTGAAGACTGCCACTTCTGTAATTTTGGGTTTCCCTGACATTCAATGCATGCTTTTGTCAATTCCTCACTCATTTATTCTATCCTTATTTCCACCTACCCATAACTCTGCATTTTCAATTTGACCTCATCTGTAAACAATACATGCATAAACTGCATTACGGCGACCTTAGACATTAACATGCAGACAAGCTGGGAAGCTGTGTGTACGTGTGGAGCAGAGCACGTGAAAATATTTGTGGCCATCTCAAGGTCGTAGCACCGGACTCCGTGTTTCCAATTTTAAGTCAATGGCTTCTGAGGACTTTCAGAAGGGCTTTGGATCTACTAAAACGGCCAGGAGGCCAAACCGCCCTGCAAAGTTACAACGGCATAGCCCTAAGTGGCCCGATACAAAAAATAAAAATTAGCCAAAGATAAGGTGTCAAAAGCCTAACAATTTTAACTATACCAAGGGGTAAATAGCCAATAGTAAGTTAGTTCATTTATCAAACTACTTGTTAAAATAAGTACTATCGTGTGAATGCTCTCCTCCCGGTTAATGGAATACCCAAGTCTCTCAATTCCACTTTTATGAAACTTGTTGCCTCCAGAAGTCAAAGCATCTAACCACCTCCAATTCCTATTTCAAATTAGCTTCCCAACCGTCCATTCCACACGTGACTGTCTTGTGGCAATGTCACGTGAGGACCATTATGGGGAAGGGATATCGGGTGACTGGGGAATTTCGTCCCACTGACTCATTAGTCCAAAATGTTTCCAAAATGTGATATCATGCAGACACTCGAGTTGTATCTCACTTATTACTGTTTGGTATTTTGTAAGGTAACTATCTCATCCGCAGTCCATTTTGCTCGCAAGTACGAGGCGAGAACAGCTTTCTGGGTGTGGCGTGAAACGTTTCTTAGAGGAGTGGATTATGAATGGTTTGGGGATATGCAATGTGTTCGTCTGTTTAACAGGCGTTGAGCCAAGAGACACATTTTTCATCAAATGTCTGTCAGTCGGTCATCAAATAATGGGAAGTCCGCACTTTTATAAAGTTCTTTAAAAAAGGAGAATAAGAAGCTGAGATTTTCTTGAAATAGAGTGTCGTCTCTTGATGCCTATGAGGTGAACGTAGTTGCTTAGCTAAGGCCACAAACTTCCCAGTTGATGCAGGTGGAAATGATTTGCTGTATCACACGTTGGCAGTCGAACTTCAGTTAATTCATTAGCAGAATCAAGTCAAATCATCTCTTTACATTAAGTTACTCCTCTATTGTTTCATTTTCAAATGCCACACAAGAAGCTTTTTTGGCCCTAGACAAGGGTTAGGCACGGTTCACGAAGCAGAAAGGCTGCTATTACATCCATCAAATTCGTTCGTTCGAGGATTCAAGACCTAAAGGTTTTGAGTAAAGAACGAAGAGCAGAAATACAATGGAGAGCACCTTTCCGATAGACTGACACATTAAGTCATATTTCTCAGATCCCGAAAGTTGAAACAAGTTATTAGCCCAGATGTGTACCCAGGACCTCACCAACCTCTTTGGCCCTCCCAGTATTCAACTTTGTCTCACTCTAATATTGTGCTCCTTGCAGAAATACTCTACAACATCTTATTTTCTACTTTCTTTACTCCAAACTCACAAAGATAATGAGCACAACGTGTGAAAGGTATTTGCAGGTTAGTAACTGTATCAAACGGAACACCGTGTATACCACTAAGGCTTCAAATATTGGCTTAGTTTACGGCAAAGGAAGACTTCCAACCTCACGCTCTTTTCTAGGTCAGTGGTTTATTCATACCACTTTCCGTGTGCTATGAGAATGGAACATGAAAATCGGCTCACAAGTTTGTTAATTAGGAAACTGCGTTTATTCTATTTGTCGTGGATTTTTAATAGGGACATTTACACGAAAACAGTCAACAAAACTCACGGTTAGGTGAACATGCCAGCGGAGTCCAGCAGTTCCAAGTGGAGGCAATAGCGTCTATGTCAGTGTCAGAAGAGGTAGAAAAGGAAAAAGGCAGCAAAACCCAGCAAAATGAGCGTCAAATTTGCATTTTGAAATAAATAATATTTCATGATCTACAAAAGTCCGACCACCATTGGTAAAGGTGTTAGACGACTGTTAGTGCGTGCAACGAACAGCGGTGGTGAATAAGTTTTGTCTAAAAGAATCCGCACTACCCAAACCCACTGCTGCTTATATCTCATCTACTCACCAGAAGGTTATTCAAATCATTTTAGTGGGTACAGGGGAAATCATACATCTAGCCTCAGTGATGATCCCCATCGTGGTGTTTCCCTTCCCAGTCTTCAACACAGCTGTCAACCTTGAGCACATTTAGCCTTGAAAGCACACAAAGTTCTACTTTTCTGTGACCACGGTTGATGATGTTGCTGACAGAGGGAACTGTCGTGAGTGGGATTATTTTGAAGCATCGCCTTCTTGTCCAGCCGAAAGGCATAGTAATTAGGTAGGAAGTGTGAACGTGTATGAAAGTAGTTGGGGCTGCAGGAGTTTTGGATGGATCTCAGAAAGGGTGGGGACAATTTTAAAAGCATAAATCTAGGGTGCTGCCCACAATCCAGAAGAAGTCATGAATATCTGCTACTCATTTCTGGACTAATTTCATAACTCGAGAATGTATAGCCCAAATTCTTAGCGATCACATTGTCTACCAGCAGTTGGGCCCTAGATCCCTTCTTATCTGATCCGCATCACCTACCGACAAATGCTGGGAGAAAGTTAGTGAAAAGCACGCTCAGAAACGCTCGCGATGTGCGGTCTAGACAACAATGTGGACAAAAATATCTTTGCTTATTTAAGACAAATTAAAGCTGAATGAGAGCGTCTTAGTTTATGAAAGGTGGAATAGAGCCCATTTCAATGAAGAAAAACTGTACTCCTTTTATGACACAGTCCCCTTTTAACTTATTTATGCACATACTCCAGAAATTAGGTGACATTTGAGCGCCGCGACACAGAAAGGTGAGCCATCCTAAAACAGTGCGTATAGCCACAACAACAACAACAACACCGTCGTTCACCCCCTCCATCAGGAGCATTTGGGCTGGTCCAATATAGTATGATGGCGTACATCAGCCACCCATCACTTGTTATGTTACAGCCATTGAAGTATGCATTTTGATTGAGAAGGTGTAAAATCAAAAGCCTCTGTTTGACTTGAACGCTACTGGTAAATAAGCGGATGGTTAAACATTTTGATCCCCCAAAACCCTTAACGTTTGGACACAATATTTCCTGGCAGGAACTTCTCAAATTAAAAACCTAGGGGTGCTATTGAGAGAATGAGCGATAAACACGTCCAGTGTCCTTTCCCTAGAGATAACATTAAATGTATCACCATCAAAAGACGAATTGTGTGCAATTTCCTTATTTCCCTTTGGTTAATCAACATGCTCCGTTATCGAGAAGGAAGGTTTAGGCCTCCTGATACCAGTACTAACCCAAAATGCCATCAAGTGCCATTTGGTATAACGATATAATATTTTGTGATAAATATTCATGACATTATGAACTACCGATGGTATTGAAATACAGTGTCTAAAACTTCGCACTCAGTCAAGAAGTAAACGTGACGTTTTGCGTCGCCTTGTGAACAACTTGTCTGTTTGGCGGCGACTACGCACTACGCGCTGGGAAGGAAGTTCCCAAAACGAAAGCAAAGGACGTGTGGAAGAAGTGCGCGTAGAAACGCTTTGTGTTAAGCAAAGGATTGCCCTTAAATGAAAGCAATGATGTATTTTTGTTTTGGAGTCAGAGGGGCATTTTTTGTTATCATGGTAGAATGATGGTGAAAACATGGAATCCAATTTTTTGCACATTTTAAAAAGTAATGG